AGAGGAGATATGTGGATGCAGTTAGAGAGGACATGGAGGTAGTTGGAGTGAGGACAGAGTGGGATGGAGGAGGATGACAGTGTGGAGACCCTGAAGAGGGAACAGCTGAAAGAAGAAGTCTGTGCACTAATGATGTGGGGCTTTAAGTCCCTCCTACTCCCCTGCACAATCATGGTGTTATATAAGCTTTTCTTAAGCCTGAAATAACTAAGTACAGCTACATGGGTTAGAAAATGAAATATTTGAACACACAGCAGTAAGATAGCTCTATGTGTAGAGACAACACCCAAAAATTATTGTGGTGTGTGTTTTTATTTTTTCATATGGGAACAGCCCTGTTTGCTTATGTGAAGAGGGGCTGGACTTAAAACTTGTACTTGAAAAAGCCAAAATAGAAGCTTGGTCACAATCTGGCTTGAACTTCCAGGTTAACATTTCTTGATCTGTCTAAATATTGTTTTTGGTGTTGACAAGCAAACAATGACTCGTCCAAAGGACCTTTTTCCAAAGCAGCCATGTTAAAAGCAACTCCAACCTTATAAATAAAACAACAGTTCATAAAAATGCTGTTGTATAAACCTTTACACTGCTGTCCGTTTTGCATTACGTAGTTCTTTATTTAAAACAATATTAAATTATTTCCTTGTATGACACCTGGATGTTCCATAGGTGCTACAGCTAGTTGATGGTGCTGCAGATTAGGCTAAAATATCAATTTCATGTAAATAATTGTGTAATGCAAAGTTGGCAACAATGTATAGGTTTACAAAACGGGTTCATGTAAACCTTTATGTGTTGGGGTTCAAGCTGTTTTAGAAAGGAAGAACTCCATGTTGGTCTTTGCTGCATTAGGACTAGCCTTTAGCTCTTCAGTCTTGTTCGATGAGTTCCTCCAAACTGAAGCCATTCAAAACTCTATGTACATAGAGGAAGATGTAGGTGTTTTTAACATTTCCATAGAAACCCATTTAAGTACGACTGAACTATCACTTCAGGGTGCTGAACTCCAAGCTGGGTTTTTGTCCTGCTTTGATTCGTGCGACCTATGGTATATTTTGTCAGGGTGGCTCTCTCTCAGTGAAGTCTTGGAAATTTAGAGTCAGCTTTTATCTTCACTTTGACAAAAAGTTGGCAACAATAGATGCAGCTTTAATTTTTCAACAACACTGCTTCTTAGAAAGTCAGGAAATAATCATAAAAGAGGAGGGATTTATCTTTATGTGTTTGTCAAGCAACATTATTTCCTGTGCCCACATTTTTTAATTTTTATAGTGATGTTCAACCGCTTACAAAACCAATGAAGAGGATGCATTTCACAAAGGAGGTGCTTTTTTCATCCATATACTGTATATATATATTTATATAGGTATATATACAGACCCTTTCCAAAAAATTAGAATATCATGAAAAAGTTTTTTTTAACTTTAATAATTCCATTCAAAAAGTTTTTCTTTAATAGATGATAGATTCAGGGCCCACAATTTCAAGTATTTATTTGTTTATTTTTACATAATTTGGGCTTCCAGCTCATGAAACCCACGGAAATAAGATTTCATAAAATTAGAATACTGTGAAGAAATCAACCCATATTCTGCAGGGCATGAATGTTTTAAACTGAGTGTGACACTAATCATCTACTAAACTCAAAGCACCTGCACAGGTTTCCTCAGGTGTCATTAAATTGCTTCAGTTTGGTTCAATTGTCTCAGTTTGGTTCAATATGGAGAAGGAGGAGTGGGAGCGGTCGGAGGTAGAGGACGCTGAGTTTGAACGGACGGTTAACTGGAATTTTGTTAAGTTAATTTAAAGGTGGTTCTTGGCATAATCCGGGTTGTGAGTGGATCAGATGGCAAGTACTAGTGGGGGAAATTCGGAGGATGAGAATATGGAGACAGGATGGTCTATGGTAGAAAATAGGAAGGGGGGAGGAGGAGGTAAGGCAAAAAAGGGAGTAAATACTGGGAAAAGGTCTCTTGAGGATGAGGAAGAAACGGTTGAAATAAGGAAGAAAGTAATGGTGGAAGAGTTTAAAATTATACTGAAATTTAAAACTGGGCAGGATATGTTTGGAGTGAGCCCTATTAATTTGTCAAATGGACTTAAGAGAACTATTGGAGAAGTAGAGTTAGCTAAAGTGTTAAGAGATGGAAGTCTACTAATCATTTGTAAAAATGCTGAACAAAAGAATAAAGCTCTTAAACTACAATTGGTGTGTAAAAAGGAAGTGATGGAGAGAAAGGTTGTTGGGGAGGAGAAAGGAGTAAAAGGAGTAATATCAGGGATTCCTGTAGGAGAAAATTTGGAGGAGCTGAAGAAAATAATTAAAGGAGGAGAAGTCATAGACATCAAACGGCTACAGGCCTTTAGGAATGGAGAGAAAATGGACAGTGCATCTATCCTACTGGTCTTCAGAGATAGAGTTTTGCCTGAAAAAGTGATGATTGGATACATGAGCTTTAATGTAAGGCAGTATATTCCTCCGCCACTCAGATGCTATAAATGTCAGAGATATGGACATATTGCAAGTGTTTGTAAAGGGAAACAGAGGTGTGGCAGATGTGGTGGCGAACATCCTTATGGTGAGTGTGGAAATAATCCTGTTAAATGTTGCAACTGTGGAGGAAATCATACTGCAGCATATGCAGGATGCAATGTAAGAAAAGAGGCAGCTGAAATTCAAAAAGTAAAAACAGAAAAGAGGATTACTTATGCTGACGCAGTGAAACGGGTGAAAAACAATGATAATGCTTCGAATACAAGTTATGAAAAAAAGGCAGTAGCAGATAATAATCAGAATAATGTTACGTTAGAAAAATTGATCCCTTTTCTTGCATATATCATAAATTGCTCAGAACAAGCAAAGAATAAAACTGAAAAAATTAAAATTATAGTGAAAGCAGCTATAAAATTCTTCAAGGTAAAAGATTTATCTTGGGAAAAAATTCATGATGAGCTGAGGCAGGGTGAAGGATCGTCTGAATTTGAGGCATCTCAAACCATCACATAATTCTAATATTACAATGGAACGCTCGCAGTCTAATAGCAAATGGTCAGGAATTTAAAGGCTTCATTAATAATTTAAATCCAAAAC